CTTCTAATCCACCCACCCACCCAAGCAGGAGACCCTACACCATTTCTGACAAATGGCAGCCCAGTCTCTTTTTGAAAGTCTCAAGTGATGAAGCTCCCACAACATGTGAAGGCAACTTCTGTTCCATTGATTGATTTTTCTCACTGTCAGAAAATTCCTCCCTATTTCTAGGTTGAATCTCTCCTTGATCAGTTTCCATCCATTATTCCTTGTCTGGCCTTCAGATGCTTTGGAAAACAGGTTGACCGCCTCAAATATTGGAAGACTGCTATCATGTCTCCCCTGGTTAGTGAAGACAAGAAACAATGGATGGAAGCTAATCAAGGAGAGAAGCAACCTGGAGAAACTTCCCAACAGGGAGGACAATTAACCAGTGGAACATAAGTTGCCTCCAGAAGTTGTGGGTATTTCATCACTGGAGGTTTTTTAAGAAGAGACTGGACAGCCACTTTTCTGAGATGGTTTAGAGTCTTCTGCTTGAGCAGGAGGTTGGATTAGAAGACCTCCAAGGTCCCTTCCAGCTCTATTCTGGTTGATTTTCCACAACATTGAAGAGGGGCGTGCATTTTGAAGGCTCAGTCCTCTGACCACGGGCTGATCAGAAAAGATGATCCTGGGATACTAAGATGGAAGAGATAAGAGGAATGCCAGCCCGAAGGGGGTCAGACAAATTGCTAGGTCTCAATGGCTCTTAAACGGAGCCTGCACCAGGGCAGGCAACCAAGAGTGGGCCTTCCTTCCCACGTAAGAAGCCCTGCAGAGCTCCTCTGCCCTGTGCTGTGCTCAGCCTTAGGTGATCTGGGGTTGGAAGGAGATTATGAAGCCAGCCCTCATTTTCTGATGCCTCCCGCTGTTCTTTGATCCACTAGGCTCCCCTGAGACGGGAATTCACTAGAGGGTTCTGGAGCAGTTTCCACTATCTTAGCCCAGAGTCAGAAGATTGAGTGGGGAGAATTAACCAGTGGAACAGAAGTTGCCTTCAGAAGTTGTGGGTGCTTCATTACTGGAGGTTTTTTAAAAAAAGGCTGGACACCCACTTGTCTGAAATGGTGCTTGAGAAGGGAGTTGGACTCCAAGGTCCCTTCCAGCTCTATTCTGGTTGATTGATTCATTGCTTTATTTTAGCTTTCAAAACTTCCTTTTCCTGGGGTGGAAAAGAGGCCATTGCAGACTACTTGACCTGATTTTGCTTTCTACACCACCCCAAAATATTTGTCGGTCTCTGGATAGAAAGATAGCAAGTTCTCCTTGCTCCTGAGCTCAATTCTTATGAACTTTGCCCAAGACAGAAGGAAGGATTAATGGACCGCATGCCTTCATAACCAAGGGAATTGCTTTGCCCATAAATTCCAGGTGTAACTTGACACACACCCACCCACACCCATTGGGGTGAACATTGAAATGTAAACAAGAAAGGTTATTTTACTCCCTTTGGTGGATTCGTAAAAAATTCTGGACTCAAATGCATATCCTGATTCAGAGGAGTTTAAAGATTTATATATAATTGGGCCCATAATTACGGTTGGTGAAGATGCTGGAACTTGCTAAGGGAAGAAATTGACACGTTGGATTAGAAAAAAAGACAATATGTTTACTGCTAACTGGAAACACTTTATGGACTTTTGATATAAAATATTTATGGCTTAATGCAGTGGTTCCCAAACTTGGCAACTTTAAGACTTGTGGACTTCAACTCCCAGAATTCTCCAGCCAGCTCTGTTGAAGTTGAAGTCCATAAGTCTTAAAGTTGCCAAGTTTGGGAACCACTGGCTTAATGAATAGAGAGGATAGGCCAGTGATGGCAAACCTTTTTTCCCTTGGGTGTCAAAGTACTCGTGTGTGCATGATAGCGTGTGTGCTGACACCCATAATCCAATGCCCACCGCAGGCCCCACCATGCATGCGGGACCCCCCCTCCCATCTCCGTTTTGGTCCTAGCAGGCTTCCCTGAAGCTTCCTGGAACCAAAAACGGGGCATGGGGGGGGGGAATCCCTCCCACCCATCACACATGCAAGTGTGACTCCCTAACCCACCCCTGCACATTTGCGTGCTTTTCCCAGCAGAGACCTGGAAATCAGCTGGCCGGCAGGAGGCGCACACACATGCACAGTGGCACTGACCTGGGCAATGGCTTGTGTGCCCGCAGAGATGGCTCTGCCTGCCAGAGTTTTGCCATCACTGGGATAGGTCATAGAAAAAAGAGAGTTATATTGTAGCCATAAAGTAACAGATAAATTTATAATTGTATTTATAACTTCCGTAAAGAAGACCAGAAGCTACTTCATTGTATTTTTTTCCCTACTTTTCTTTCCCTTTTTTTCTTGGACTTTTTCTTGCGCTATTAGCTGGAGACCTCCTGGCTGTTTTTTGGACCTCCTGGCTTCTTCCCTGTTCTTATTCCCCCCCCCCCAATATTGCAAAACCGTTGGGGGAAAGGGCTCAGAATGCTGGCTGTCAGCCGGATAAAGCTTTTAAAATTGAACAGGCAGGGACTAAATAAAATGAAATAACTAATTATCAATTAATTAAATTAAACAGACAAGGACTAGGGGTGACAAGACAGACAATATCTGAGGAGCTGCCACGAAGAAGAGGGGGGTCAATCTATTATCCAAAGCACCTGGAGGCAGGACAGCAAACAATGGATATCGGACAGCCACCATTTTGGGGGGAAACAGTTTGAGGGATGATGAAGTGGCTGAGAACAAGTGAGCGCATCCTTCTTCTTTTGACAGTCCTTTTCCTGGCTGTCTTTAAGATTTCCTCTAAAACCCCGGGGAGGGTCTGTAGGGCTCCAACTTCAGAATGAAGCAAAAGGCCATGAGTTGAGATCTACCTGTAAGATTTCCTTTCCTAGCATAACTCTACAAGCAGCACCTGACTGTGAACTGATTGTGCTGTGCTTCTTTTGAAAAGCTTTACTTTTTTTTTCTTTATTTCTGGGAATTTAGATTTTGAACTTTTTTTTTAGGGGGGAGGGAAGCCTGTTGGATGGGAGGCATTGAAAAGAGAATGAAAATATTGATAGCACAGGGCTGTAATTATTAGCAGAATTTGCTGGTTGGAGACCATAATAAAATCGATTGATTGATTGATTGGGTTATAACCCAATAACAAAAAGCGTGCATCTAAAATTGGAAGGACTGGGGACCAATCACAATTCCTAAGGGAAGACCTGTGCAAGGCATCTTCAGAAGGGCCTCTGCTGTAGAACTTCACATCTGAGCAACTTTGCAATGAGGAGTAGTCCCTCAGGGAGACAGCCTTAGATAACTCAGGACTTTTAAGGTCACAGTGGAAATCTTGAGGGATAGAATTCCAAAATTGAAAGAGAGCAGCACTCACTGTGCAGTTTAAATGAAAGTCTATCCAACAAATAGACATCTGAATTCTGGTTGAATGCAGAATGTCAAAAGAAGGCAACTTCCACCACTCTGTATAACTCTGGGAAACAATGATCAAACAAATGTTATTGTTAGGAATTCCAGAGTACCACTGTGGATCAGTGCAAACCATTTCATATATAACTGCTAGGTACTTGAATCTGTACATTGGTTTGTTTCTGGATGCAGTTGAGAGACCCACTTGAATTGAACTGCAGCCTTTATTCATAGCTACAGAGCCTGAATTTAAAAGAATCAGCTGGAAAGAAAAAGTTCTGGACTCCAAAGCTAAATGTCTATGGAGATTCTTCGTCGTCCAGGTCATGGTTGAGAAGTTTCACTTCTCATCCAAGAAGGTTGTTCAGCAGAACTGAAGAAACTTCTTGGATGAGAAGCAAATTATCTTCAAGGAAAAACAAAGAAAACCCAGTTGCTTTCTGAAAAAGGCACATTTGGGACTCCAAGGCTGTTTTTAAGACATAGAACTGTGCAGTCTGGAATCTGTGAAGCCCATTGCCTTATCGCAGACTGAAGTTGCCAGCCACAAAAATGGACTGAATTGGTTCTCCAGAAGTAGATCTTCCCCCTGAATCATTCCTCCTATGCTTTTTCTTGCAGACTTGTGCAAAGACACTGAACTCCACCACTTCTGAAGCCTCAGCTCCTGTCATATCCGAGAAATATAGATTGGCATCCGTCAATGGAGATAAGGTAAGAGATGTGATGGAAAGACAAAGGGGAATTCGGTTGACCCTTGAAAGCCAAGCTGCAGAACCTGTTAGCATCATCTCAGGATCAGTGATGGTATTCAGCCAGTTCTGACTGGTTCTAGTGAACTAGTAGCAAAAATTTTGAGTACTTTGTAGTACTCAAATACCACTTCTGGCTGGCCCCGCCCACATCTATTTGCTGCCTCCCGAGTCCCAGTTGATCTGCTGGGTCTTCTTCTGTTGCCCTGCACAGGAGAATGGAGCTGGAAAGCAGGTTGTTGGGGTGGGGAGGGAATGGGGATTTTGCAGTAACTTTCCCCTGCCAGGCCCACCAAGCCACGCCCACAGAACTGGTAGTAAAAAAAAATGAATCCCACCACTGCTCAGGGTGTGAGAAAGATTAAAGTGGCAAGAGAGAGAAGAAATTAAATGATTTCTTTTCTGCTTCATCCCTCCATGTCAGATTTAAATGGGCTCTTTTACCCCTTTACCCTGGACGATTAGTTATACACCCTCATTTTAGGATAGAGGTGGACAAAGATGTCCAGCTGATTTCCCTCAAGCTCGCGTGTTTAGGGCAGTGTTCCATAAGATAAGAAAACATTTATAGCAATAGCAATAGCCTTGGGCTTATATACTGCTTTACAGTGTTTTTACAGCCCCCTCTAAGCGGTTGACAGAGTCAGCCTATTTGCCCCCAACAATCTGGGTCCTCATTTTACCCACCTCGGAAGGATGGAAGGCTGAGTCAACTTTGAGCCTGGTGAGATTTCAACTGTTGGCAATACTGCATTCTAATCATTGTGCACAGGACGGAAGGAAGGAAGGAAGGAAGGAAGGAAGGAAGGAAGGAAGGAAGGAAGATAGCAATAGCACTTAGACTTATATACCACTTCACAGTGCTTCACAGCCCTCTCTAAGCGGTTGACAGAGTCAGCCTATTGTCCCCCACAATCTGGGTCCTCATTTTACCCACCTCGGAAGGACGGAAGGCTGAGTCAACCTGGAGCCCCCTCATGATCAAACCCTTGGAGTGAGCAGTGAGTTAGCCTGTAGTACTCCATTCAGCAAGTGATTTTCCAGGGTAGGTGTCCCCGAAAGTCAAAAGGGCACCTGTAGCACAGATTAAAAGCGTGAGGCTTTGAGCATGGGACTTGACTCTGTTGATCCTTCTCATAAAACCTCAGCAATGTTTCTCTAAAATAAGAAGTATAAATATGATGGATGGCTCTCTGTCTAACTTTCCTTGCTGACTAAGGTGCTTCGCATTGTGGAAAAGGGAAAGAATTGGGTCCCCGCCAATAATAGTGTTTCCATGTCTTCCTGGTTTCTATTTTGGGTTTTTTTTCCAGTCTGATGCTGATCCCCCCCCCCCCCCGGCTCCTTATGGCAGTGTGCAACTTGGCTAAATTGCCTTTCCTTTCTGTAGTCGGGGCTGGGGTCTTCTGGATTGTTGCTGAATCCTGTAGTGATCTCAGCTAATTAAATCAGCCTCCCGCTGGGTGACCTGTGTCCAGGCAGTCACTGCACAAACGGAGCTCTAGAGATGAATAGGGTAACTGACAGGGAAGTTGTTGGGGAGAAGGTGGATGGGGCAAAGCTTGGAAACCTGGAAGCTATTCTGCCTAGCCAAGTCCTTAGTTAGCTACAGAATAGAGTTGGAAGGGACTTTGGAGGTCTTCTAGTCCAACCCCTTGCTCAAGCAGGAGATCCTATACATTTGAGACAAGTGGCTAGCCAGTCTCTTCTAAAAACCTCCAGTGATGTAATGCCCACAACTTCTGAAGGCAACTTCCGTTCCACTGGTTAATTGCTCTCATTGTTAGGAACTTTCTCCTTAATTCCAGGTTGCTTCTCTCCTTGATTAGTTTCCATCCATTGTTTCTTGTCTGGCCTTCGGGTGCTTTGGAAAATAAATTCATCCCCTCTTCCTTGTAGCAGCCCCATCCCCTAGTCCAGTGATGTCAAACCTTTTAGACACCGAGTGCCCAAACGGTGTGCGCACGCATGCCCAAACTGAAAGGCGTGCATGTGTGGACATGCATGAGCACATGCACATGTGTGGACATGCACTTACACATGCGCAGCAGAGACTCGAAAACCAGCTGGCCAGTGGGAGGCGGGGCATGCCAACACCAGCAGTGGGGCAAGAGGTCAGATCTTTTTCTTCCGTGAGCTTCTGTTTCATCGTTTGCAGGGAAACGGAAGCTCGCGAAAGAAACACCATGGAGATCTGACCTGGGGCAACGGTGCGCATGCCAGCAGAGGGGGCTCTGCATGTCACCTATGGCACGCGTGTCATAGGTTTGCCATCACGGGTCTAGTCCTTCTGTTCTGTACACTAACCGTATCATACACTAGCCTGCAGGAAGGAAGTGATGGAGGAAGAGGAGCAGGTTCTTCAGACAGAAGTGCCCTTGCCCTGGCCAAATCAGGAGACCTTCCCTTCCCACTGATTGAAGGAACTCCCTCACCTTTTAATCTTTCCAGCAAAATGACACCTCCTAGCTGGTAGGATGGAGCTGGCATCCCTCTTTGTGGGCGGCTGGCATACTTTCTTGGAAGCTTCTCTGGTGAGGAGGCGGAAGGTCAGCCTCAGGCTGAGTCCAAAGTTTGTTTATGGAAACAAAAGGTGCCACCGGTGAGAAACAGGGCTCTGGAAGGAGGTTCCCTGGTGGTGTTTTGAAGGGCCTTAAAGACTTAATTCTTCCCCCAGGTTTCCAATGACTGTGAGTGGCATCCCCTTTAACATGTCCCTTGCTGTCTGTCCCAATCTGGTTTCTGTCACCTTCGCCTCTTTTATTCCTTTTTTTTTCTTACTATCTTTTTGAAAAGGTTTTTGTCAATATAAAAAGATAACTTTAGTAAACATTTTACTAGTAAGCTGCCCAGTCATTGGCAACATAAAACCTGAATGAATGAATGAATGAATGAATAAAGCAGGCCTCTGAAGACAAGATATTGCGGAGAGCCAGAAGGAGGGGAAGCAAGAAGTATTTGTAGAAAGTGGGCACATATAAAAAAAAATGCTGTGAGGAGTTAAGTCAAAATTCTCCGCTGACTTTTTGGTGTCCAGAGATGCACAAATTTCCTTGAAAGAGGAAATTTGGTCCCATCTTGGAACTCTCTAGGGCCTTCTAGATTAGAATATAATAAAATAGACTCTATACTGTGAATGTAATGTAATATAATGCAATAATAATTATATATTAGATACAATACATTAGTATATAGGTAGTCCTCGACTTGCAAAAAGTTCATTAAGTGACCATACAAAATTACCACGGCACTGAAAAAAGTGACTCATGACTGTTTTTTACACTTATGACTAAAATTCAAATACTTGACAACTGGTTCATTTTTATGACCATTGCAATGTCCCAAAGTCACGTGATCTGTTTTTGCGACCTTCTGACAAGCAAAGTCAATGGAGAAGCCAGATTCACTTAACAACCTTGCTACCAACTTAACAACTGCAGTGATCCACTTAACAAATGTGGTAAGAAAGGCCATAAATTAGGGAAAACCCACTTATCAAATTTCTCATTTAACCACCAAAATTTTAGGCTCAACTAACTGTAGTATGCTAAGCTAAACTAAGCTAAACTAAGCTAAACTAAGCTAAACTAAGCTAAACTAAGCTAAACTAAGCTAAACTAAGCTAAACTAAGCTAAACTAAGCTGTCCTGTCCTGTCCTGTCCTGTCCTGTCCTATCCTATCCTATCCTATCCTATCCTATCCTATCCTATCCTATCCTATC